AGAGACAGCGCCCCGCGTCTCCTCTCCTCTCCTCTCCTCTCCTCCTCCTCCTCTCCCCCCTCCTCCCTCCTCCCATCGCCGTCATCATACTCATCGTCATCATCATCATCATCATCATCCTCATCGTCATCATCATCATCATCATCATCATCATCATCATCATCATCATCATCATCATCATCATCATCATCATCATCATCCTCGTCATCATCACCACCAGCAACATCATCGTCATCATCATCGCCATCGCCATTAGTTCCCAACCATCCTGTCATCATCACCACCAGCATCATCATCGTCATCACCACCAGCATCATCATCGTCATCATCATCATCATCGCCATCGCCAATAGTTCCCATTTCCGCACACCCCTCACACGTTTCGTGGCCTCATAGGGAGCTCCACCGAAGGCCCCAGTGGCAGGGTTCGCATGCCGCCCCCACCCCACTTTGGCACACCCCTCACACGTTTCGTGGCCCCATAGGTAGCTCCACCAAAGGCCCCAGTGGCAGGGTTCGCATGCCGCCCCCACCCCACTTTGGCACACCCCTCACACGTTTCGTGGCCCCATAGGGAGCTCCACCGAAGGCCCCAGTGGCAGGGTTCGCATGCCGCCCCCACCTCACTTTGGCACACCCCTCACACGTTTCGTGGCCCCATAGGTAGCTCCACCGAAGGCCCCAGTGGCAGGGTTCGCATGCCGCCCCCCACCCCACTTTGGCACACCCCTCACACGTTTCGTGGCCCCATAGGTAGCTCCACCGAAGGCCCCAGTGGCAGGGTTCGCATGCCGCCCCCACCTCACTTTGGCACACCCCTCACGCGTTTCGTGGCTCCATAGGTAGCTCCACCGAAGGCCCCAGTGGCAGGGTTCGCATGCCGCCCCCGCCCCACTTTGGCACACCCCTCACACGTTTCGTGGCCTCATAGGGAGCTCCACCGAAGGCCCCAGTGGCAGAGTTCGCATGCCGCCCCCATCTCACTTTGGCACACCCCTCACACGCTTCGTGGCCCCATAGGGAGCTCCACCGACGGCCCCAGTGGCAGGGTTTGCATGCCGCCCCCACTTTGGCACACCCCTCGCGCACTTCGTGGCCCCATAGGGTGCTCTACCGAGGGCCCCCGTGGCAGGGTTCGCATGCCGCCCCCACTCACTTTTGCACACCCCTCACACGTTTCGTGGCCCCATTGGGAGTTCCACCGACGGCCCCAGTGGCAGGGTTCGCATGCGTCCGCGCCACCCATGTCGACACACCCTTGACACGTTTCGTGGCCCCATAATGAGCTCCACCGAAGGCCCCAGTGGCAGAGTTGGCATGCCGCCCCTCGCCCATTTCGGCCCACCCCTCACACGCTTCGTGGCCCCATAGGGAGCTCCACCGAAGGGGCCCCAGTGGTTGCGTTCGCATGCGTCCCAGCATATTCTTCGGAGCTGCGGCCAGCCCTCCCCCCGAGCCCCCAGGCGCTCTGCCAGAGACACCTGCCAGAGACACCTGCCGCTCTGTCAAAGACACCCGCCGGCGCGACAAGACCCAGACAGCGTGCAAGGACACGCATTGGCGAAGATAACCGCGCTTTGTCGTCGCCGTCTCTGTCGTGATCTCTCTTTCTCTGTCTGTGGCCGGCCCATTAACTCTATTGGTTTATATTCACCTTGCAATGGCCCCCAATAGCGTTTAACAGTTTTAACGCCGAGCCCCGCCGGACGCCAGCATGAGTAGATAGCATGTAGCATGGCAGGCGGGGTAGCAGAGAGCAAGTGTGTTCCCATGGCGATGGTTCCATATATGGGACTGGCCGCGCAGTCACGAGGGACGACGGCGGCCGGGCGCAGGGGGAAACCCTTGCGTCCGGGCCGGGGGTGGTAACCCATCCTCGGCCGAAGCGGGGGCAGGGGTAACCCCTTGTCTCCGGACCGCCGGTGGTAACCCATGGGCGGCCGAATCGGGCGCAGGGGTAGCCCCTTGCGTCCGTGCCGGGGGTGGTAACCCATCCTCGGCCGAATCGGGGGCAAGGGTAACCCCTTGTCTCCGGGCTGGCGGTGGTAACCCATCGTCAGCCGAATCGGGCGCCGGGGGGAACCCTTGCGTCCGGGCCGGGGGTGGTAACCAATCCTCGGCCGAATCGGGGGCAGAGGTAACCCTTTGTCTCCGGGCTGGCGGTGGTAACCCATCGTCAGCCGAATCGGGCGCAGGGGGGAACCCTTGCGTCTGGGCCGGGGGTGGTAACCCATCCTCGGCCGAATCGGGGGCAGGGGTAACCCCTTGTCTCCGGACTGGCGGTGGTAACTCATCGTCAACCGAATCGGGCGCAGGGGGGAACCCTTGCGTCCGGGCCGGGGGTGGTAACCCATCCTCGGCCGAATCGGGGGCAGGGGTAACCCCTTGTCTCCGGGCTGGCGGTGGTAACCCATCGTCAGCCGAATCGGGCGCAGGGGGAAACCCTTGCGTTCGGGCCGGCGGTGGTAACCCATCGTCAGCCGTCCACAAAAAACGCCCTGCGAGTTTGTGGGTAAGGGGCCACTAACCTAATTTTTTGGGGGGGGGCGTTTTGGTTTCAAGTTTCAATCGGTTTCTGACACCCCCGGGGCCCGAAGGACGGAGGCACGGCCCCGGGGCCCGGAAAAGGCACGGAGACATAGCCCCGGCGTCTGCGGCAGAATCTGGTCGTCGGCGTCGTCGTCGCCGTCGCCGTCGCCGCCGCCGTCGTCATCGTCCTCCCTCCCTCTATCCCTCACGTCGACGAGGACCGACGACGACGACGCCGACGCCGACGCCGACGACGACGACGACGACGACGACGACGAGGACGAGGACAACGTCGACGACGACGACAGCGACGACGACGACGACGACGACGACCTGCTCCCGTGACAGGGACTTTATTGATTTCGGCACCCCTCCCCACACGTTTCGTGGCCCCCTTGGAAGCTCCACCGAAGGTCGTATTTACAACTGCGGTTCTCTGAAACGGGGAAAGGCTGTTGATGCCACCGCGCTGCCAGTGGGAACGCGTAAGCTCCTCTGGGCCCACCTGATGTTCTTCGCCGTTGGGACGTTCGTCGTTTTGGGATCTCCATGGATCCTTTGGCCTTCGGCGAGGGGCTCGCGTTCTTGATCCACGCTCTTGTGGCCATGTTTCGGTTTTCATTCACGCATCTATCACGCAGCTGATGTTCAACGGTGCCTTTCACTCATGCGGCCTCCCTGCTGCGAGCGCTTCCTGTGTGTCCAGTTCTGTATGGCCGGACAGGGAACCTGAAAAGGCTCCCTGTCCGGCGGCGGGAAGGGGACCCTGAAAAAGGCTCCCTCTCCCGCCTGTGCGTTGCCGGAGAGGGAACCTGAAAAGGCTCCCTGTCCGGCGGTGGGAGAAGGAACCTGAAACGGCTCCTTCTCCCGCCTATGCGTTTCCGGAAAAGGCGGGAGGGGGAACCTGAAAAGGCTCCCTGTCCCACCCGTGCGTTGCCGAACAGGGAACCTGAAAAGGCTCCCAGTCCGGCGGCGGGAGAGGGACCCTGAAAAGGCTCCCTCTCCCGCCTGTGCGTTGCCGGAGAGGGGCCCTGAAAAGGCTCCGTGTCCGGCGGCGGGAGAGGGAACCTGAAAAGGCTCTTTGTCCCACAGTGCTTTGTCGGAGAGGGACCCTGAAAAGGCTCCCTGTCCGGCGGTGGGAGAGGGAACCTGAAAAGGCTCCCTGTCCAGCAGTGCCGTGTCGGAGAGGGACCCTGAAAAGGCTCCCTGTCCGGCGGCGGGAGAGGGAACCTGAAAAGGCTCCCTGTCCCGCATTGTTTTTTCGGAGAGGGACCCTGAAAAGGTTCCCTGTCCAGCTTCTGGGCGCGCTTGGGGCAGAACCTGGTCGTCGTCGTCGTCAGCGTCGTCGTCGCCGTCGCCTTCGCCGCCGCCGTCGTCATCATCGTCCTCGCTCCCTCCCTCTCTTTCGGTCCGGGGCCCCACGAGAACACCGACAGGCCCGAACAACCCTTAGGAGGAGGAGGAGGAGGAGGACGAGGAGGAGGAGGAGGACGACGACGATGACGACGACGACGACGACGACGACGATGACCACTACGATGCCGACGACCACGACGGCGGTGACGACGACGATGCCGACGACGACGACCACGACGACGACGACGACGATAACGACGACGACGACGGAACCCAAAATCGAAGTCCTGGAGTCCAAAGACAGCCCCCAGGAATGACGACGACGACGACAGAGACGACGACGAAGAGCCTCGAATCTCGATCCTCGAGGATCTGACGTTCGAGCCTCGGCGTCATCGTAGGCTGTGCAGTTGACGTCTTCATGTGTTGTCCTCCAAGCTGTCGTTTTTGTTTTCCTTCCATCGACGCTGCCGATCCAGCGCTCCGTTACCATATTGGCTCAAGTCCGACTGTGTTCTCGACGGACAACCGCTGCTCGTTGACGGGACTCCCTGCGCGGGACAACCGGATCGAGTCGGTGGGGACTCTGGCGCGCGCGGCCCCAGGGCGCGCGCTCGGCGGGAGCCGCGCGCATGCCGCCGAAGGGCAGCGGGGCCCCGCATCGGATTCGCTTGGAGGAGAGGAGGCTGGGGATATTTGAAGTCCGGCTGCGAGAGAAGAGCGGGGGCTCGGTGCGCGGGCCCGCGCGCGAGGGTCGGGAAGCGGCCGAGGCGGATAGGGCTCGCATCTTGGCACGGCCTGTGACGGAGCAGCGCGAGGAGTTGGTCCGCTTGAAAAAAGAGGCCATGCAGTCCACGGGGGAGGCGGCCCAGACGCCGCAGCGCGAGCGGACGGCGCCGGTGCGGCGCCGGATGAGGGGAAAGCGGCCGCTGCAGTCGCCGCGCCATTCCCCCGGGCCAGGGGCGCGCGCCAGCACCCCAGCATCGACCGCGAGAGCGGCGTTCCGGACGCCAGGCCATTCGGCGACGCGCAGGCAGTGTAGGACGACCCCAGGGTCGGCGCGCAGCCGGGGGCCGACTCCGAGGACGGTCGGAGGCGGACAGGATCGACCCGCCATGGTGTTCCGCGTGTTGGCTTTTGTCGAGAAGCACCGCCGGATGCCGCTTCGCAAAACTTTGGGGGAAGATCAGCTGGCGCAAAGGTGGGCCAGGGCAAAGGGATCCACGAAGCTGACGCCGGCTGCGCGGGGCCTGAAGATGCGCATCGAGGCGCTGGCGGCGGAGTCGGAGGCAACCAAGCAGTGTGACAATCGAGCTGCGTGTGCAGAGCAAATGTTGCTGACGCAGCATGAGGAGTGGTGCGGGGAAAACGACGTCGTCGACGAGGCCCAGTGGAGGCGGCCGGCCTTGCAGCGGTCTCGTGGCGGGCGGCACCCGTACCCGAGCCTCTCCAACCTGTGCAACAATTGCTACATCAACGCGCCACTGCAGTGCCTGCTCCACTGCCCCGCCGCGCGCGCCGAGCTCCTGGGTGCCGAGGGCGAGAGCGAGCCGCTCGTCGTGCAGGACAGCGGGTTGAGGTGGGTTCGTTCGTGAGATGAGGGGGATGGAGAGGGTGGATGATGGGGCGGGATGGAGGAGGGGTGAAAAAGGGGGATGGAGGGGGGAGAGAGGGGCGAAGAGGGGCGGATGGGTGGAAGGATAGGAAATTCGGGGGCATGCGGGGGGGGCGCAGTGCGTATATTTGATGTGTCTCCAGAGGAGCTGCTCTCCCTGGCGGCCGCCTGCAGACGCGGGGTGCCGGCGATCTCGGATGGCGGTGGCGGCGAGGCTCGCGAGTTCCTGCCCGTGGACCGCTGGTCCCCGCACGCCTTCGCGGGCGCGTTCCTGGCGAAGCACCGCGTTATCTTCGGGGTGGCGAGCGAGAAGAGGCACGGGGGCGCTGGCGAGGCGCTCTCGGTCATAGTGGAAGGCGCGCCGCGTCTCCAACGCCACTTCAGTTTCATCCAGTCCGACGGTGAGCAGGGGGCCCTGATGCGGCTCCCGCCTTTCGTGGACGGGGCAGACGAGGGCGACGATGCCGTGTCGCCGCAGGAGTTCTGCCGGGACGACGGCGCGCAGAGACTCAACATGCGACAGATGCTCCGCCGCTGCGCCTCCTCGGGCGGGCGACGGCTACTGTCGACGCCGGAGCTGCTGGCCATCCAACTGCCCGACAGGTGGGTGCGAGACGACGACGAGGCGTTTCTCCTCAGCGCCCTCGACATCGTGCCCGATTGGGGCGAGTGCCCGGAGGTGGCGTTGGAAACGGCGGGAGGAGACGTAGCACACCGCATGCGCGCCGCGGGCGCTGCCGTGGTGCAGCCCGCCGCGACTGGCATCCAAGGCCATTATGTGGCCCATTTCGAAGAGAGCGGGAGCTGGTGCACTGCGGGCGATCTGGGCGACCGGCCGCACGTGGTCCAGTGGGCGCCCGGTACCGAGCACAAGATGCCCCGCTTGATCCTCCTCGAGAGGGTGGACACCCAGGCGGCCCGGGCCGCGGCGCGCCCCTGGCCGCCAGCGGCGGTCGTCGACGGCGCGGAGGGCGCGGGCGACGACGGCGACGTCGACGCGGGCAGCGAGGAGAGCCGCGGCCTCGATGGAGAGAACGAGGAGGAGGAGGAGGACGGGGCCGGCGACGCCAGCTTGTCGGGCGCGCGGAAGCGGCCCGCGGCGTCTTCGAGGTGCGGCGCCCCCGCCAAGAAGCGGCTCCGCCTCCGAGGGAAGCAGAGCGCGGCTGGGAGGCAGCAGAGCCGCGCTGGGAGGCAGCAGAGCCGCGCTGGGAGGCACCAGGAGAGGCAGCAGAGCCGCGCTGGGAGGCACCAGGAGAGGCAGCAGAGCCGCGCTGGGAGGCACCAGGAGAGGCAGCAGAGCCGCGCTGGGAGGCACAAGGGGTGTGGGTGTAGACGCAGGGAAAGCGAGAGGCAGCAGAGCCGCGCTGGGAGGCAGCAGAAGAGGCAGCCAGAGCCCGCCCTGGAGGCAAGCAGGAGAGGCAGGACCAGAAGCGCGGCGCAGGCCGGGTAGGTTGCTCGCCGGCAGGCGAAAGCCTAAGAAAAAAATAAAAAAAAAAAAAAAAACAAAAAAAAAAAAGAGAAAAAAAGAAAAAAAAAAAAAAAAAAAAGGAAAAAAAAAGAATAGAAAGGAAAAAGAAAAAAAAAAAAAAAAAAAAGAAAGAAAAAAAAAAAAGAAATAAAAATAAATAAAAGAAAAAAAAAATAAAAAGAAAAAAGAGAAAAAAAAAAGAAAAAAAAGAATAAAAGAAAAAGAAGAAAAAAAAAAATAAAAGAAAAATAAAAAAAAAAAAAAAAAAAAAATAAAGAGAAAAAAAAAAAGAATAAGGAAAAAAGGAAAAAAAGATAAAAAAGAGGCAAGGGCGACAACGCCGACGGGTCCAGGCAGGACGCCCAGAACAACGCCGCCGCCCCGGTCCTGCGCAGCAGCAGGGAGGCGAAGAGCTTGCAGGCGGCCTGCGACGCGCGCCGGGAGTGCGGCGACCTCTTCTTGCTCTTGCACTTGCTGGAGCCGCTGGCCGCTGCCGATGACCTGCTGAAGTATTACCCTGACTTCTTCGTCTACGCCGGCGACGATTGCGCCAACCGATGGGCGACGTTCCTGCGCGCCCCCGACCGGCCAAACAAGTTGGCGGGCAGGCTGCGGGAGGCGCTCGGGGTCACGGAGGAGGAGATTTCCGACGCCAAACGCCGACTGGAGTGCGGGGAGTGGCACATGCACCACGTCGCGGAGCTCCTGGACGAGCGCCTGAACTCCGCCCGCGGCGTACGCTCCGTGGCGGCCGCGGTCCGCATGGCGGCGGGTGGCGGGCCGGGCGCGCAGGGCGACGGCAATCCTCTGAGGGCGCGCCTGGCGGAGGCGTGGCAGCGCAGACCCTGCAACCGCGGGCCGCCACGGCACTCGGCCATGCCTGCGCGCCTTCGGGATCGCTCTGAGTGGTTTCAGTGCCCCGCGCCTGCGCTGCAGTATGCCTGCCGCATGTGCGAGGCCGAGTTAACTCCAGGGAGGCGTTCATGGCGCACCAGGGCAGAGTCCACGGGGGGCAGCGGTGGTACCAGTCGCAGTACGTGGCGCGGTGCGAGCTGGAGCCCTACCAGCCGTCGCCGACCGAGGAGCGCCAGGCGAGCGGGCGGGCGGGAGAACTGCGCCTGACCCCCCCCGGATATTCTCTTCGCGCTATCACTGCCGGCGCTGGCAATTCGTTTTTTTTTTTTTTTTTTTTCTGGCATGTATGGCAGCGGAGGCCTGGGGGTCCAGCGGCAGTTTTCCCGCCCCCGCTGCAGGTGGTTCGCAGGTTCCACATCTCCCAGTGCTGCGCCACCGTCGACCCCGTGGACGAGCCGTTCGTCCCGAAGCTTGAATCGGAAGTGCAGAAGCAGCTGCTCCACGCGGCGATCATCGAAAGGATCGTCCGCGAGATCGGGCAGGGGGCCACCGCGGAGGATGCGTCCCTGCAGGCGGCCAGAGCGGCGGAGTCGGCAGCCCGCGCTCAGGCGGCGTGTCAGGCGAGGGAGCCCCGCGCTTTCCAGGCCTGCGTCTGCTGCGCCATGCAGCTGCGGTCCGAGAACCTCCACTCGGAGTTCCTCGTCGGCGACAAGTGCACCATAAAGAACCGGGCCAAGTTCGCGGAATGCCTGTCGGCCGACATACCGCGCGAGGAGCTGATGTCGTCGGCCGTGGACTTCCCGCACGAAGACAGCGAGGGCTCGCCGACGTCCACGAAGATACTCTTGCACAAGAGGCGCGTGCCGCCAGAGGCGCTCGAAGGGAAGGGGCCAGTGAAAGTGTGCGACGACTGCCGGAAGGACATGTGGTCCGATCATCCCCAGGTGCCGCTCATGGCACTGGTGAACGACCTCTGGCTGGGCCGCCACCACCCCCTGCTGAGGAAGGCCGCTCTCGCGCACTAGATGCTGCTCGCGCTGGGCCGCGTCGTGTCCGCGAAGATCTACCTGTCCAGCAAGGGCGCCGACAAGGCCGTCCGGCAGGAGCAGCAGTCATGGAGGCAGAAGTTCTTGCAGTACGCCATGCAGGGCACCGCCATCGTGTTCGGGAACGGGAACGTGGACCACGCGATGCGGAGCTTCCCACCGGAGCCCGACATGCTCAGGGACACGTTCGTGGCCGTCTTCGCGGGCGCGGACGACGACGACGAGGGCATCCCCCTGACTGAGGAGCAGAAGCAAGAGAGGGCCCCGAGAGCCATGAGGGAGGAGGTGGCGTTGCACGTCGACAAAGCGGAGTACGACGCCCAGGCGCGGTTGTTGAAGCAGCACAACTACGTGTACAATGACCCGGGCGTGCAGTACCGATCGGACCTCGTGGACCAGTTTCCCCCGCAGCCGGGCGTGCCCGACTGCATGCTGGCCTGCGCCAAGTACGTCCCCACGGACCCGGCGCTGGACGACGTCGCGCAGGCACAGGGGCCCGCCTCGGCCACCACTGGCGCGCAGGCCGAGATGGGCGCGGCCGCCGAGGACGCGCAGGAGCTGACCAAGTGGCTGTCTGTCCTTGAGGACCACATGGACGACGTCAGCGAGCTCACGTCCCTGCCGGCGCTCCAGGGCATGCTCGAGAGGATGGAGAGCCAGGCGGGGCGCGTGGTTGCCAACGAGCTGATGTCCAGGCTCGAGGACCAGAGAGGCGAGGACAGGGCGATGCAGCTGGACGAGATCGGACGTCACCGCCTGCAGGATCTCTTCAAGGAGTTCCACGCGCGCTGTCGGAAGATGTCCCTGGGGGAGGACATGGCGAAGCTGCACTGGCGTGTCCAGGCGCTGGCGACGAACACCTGCCAGGCGGGGGAGGAAGCGGGCGACCTGACGCGACCTCCGGGAGTCGCGGGGACTCCCGCCGAGGACGACCCGCGCTCCTTGCAGGAACCGCCCGGCCCAGACGGCCAGCGAAAGGCGAGGCTTGTGGTGCCCACTTCGAAGAAGGCGGAGACCTGGTGGGACCCGAAGTACTGGTCTATTGCCAGGCCCACGGACTTCTGCTACGGGGACTGCGCTTGGGGCCTCGGCGATAAGGAAAGCCGGCTCTGTTTCAGCGTGACGCACTTCATCAAAAATCTTCTCACGCGGGAGGAGATGGAGTACGACGTGCCCGGCGACGAGGAGAGGTACAAGGCCGAACCCATCAATGGTTTCCGGAGCTCCTGGTACGACGTGCACCTGCTTCACTCCTTCTACAGAGTCACGGAGACGACCAACAGCACCTACACCTTCATGAAGCAGCCCGGGGCGTTCGGGGCCGCTCGCGCATGCGCGGACATCGCGCCAGAGATGATCGGGGAGGTGCAGCTCAGGGCGCAGCAGACGACCGGGAAAGCCACGCTGAACGGCATCCTCAAGGACAAGGACACCCCCAACGAGGTGCGCAAGGCCTTCGCCACCCTGGGCCAGGCCACTGCAAGTCTCGTCGGGTCCGACGGACACAGGCGGGAGCTGCGCGGAGAGGGCGAGGCGTATACCCTGCGCCTCGGCCCGCCCGTCCAGTTCGTCACCCCGAACCTGGCCGACACCAAGCAGCCCCTGATCCTCGTCGTGCAGGGGGAGGAGTACACCTTCGACAACGACCTGAACGAGGCGGAGAGATTCACGTTCAGCGAGATGTCGCAGCGTATCGCGAAGGACCCCGCGGGCCAGGCCGTGGTATTCGAGCTGATGATGAGGCTGTTCTTCGTCCACGTCCTTGGCCTGCGCCCAGAGGCCATCGGGTGGCGGCGAGGAGAAGTTCAGAAGGCTTCGAAGCATTGGGTTTCCGACGGCGTCGCTGCCGATCTCATGGGCGTGCCCGCAGTGTTCGGCCCCCTCGCGGCGGCCTTCGGGCCAGTCGAGGCCCAGGGGCGCGGCTCGCTGCACCCGCACATTCTCATCTGGCTGCTGCAGGGCCAGCTGCATGTGCTCCTGGACATGCTGCAGGGCGACCAGGCGCGCTTCCGGGGGCGCCTGAACATGTGGATGCGGCAGGTGGTGCGGGCCGTCGTCGCCACTGGGCAGAGCGCCGCGGAGCTGCAGCCCCGGCAGCTCCAGGGGGGCGAGGACAAGTGCGGGGTCCAGGTGCCGCCACTTCCGTTCGAAGTCAACGAGAAGCGGTACTTCAGAGCCAACGGGGGCACGGAAGTGGCGACGGCTGAGCAGCTCGGTGCCGCAGGCGACAAGGAGCCGCAGCCATTGTATATCTTCGACCCCAAAGCGACCGAAGAGCAAGGCGAGGACGTCTACCACGAGGCGCTTCGCCCCAATCTGCCGCTGCGCAACAAGGCCGGCGAGACCGTGGACGACGAAGCGACGTGGACAGAGCAGCAGGCCGCGGAGAGCAAGAGGCACTGGCAGCGGCCGCTCTCCAGCAGCGCCTCCGGCATCTTCCCGAAGTACCGCAGCGGGTGCACCCTGGAGCAGTCTCTCCCGAGCGACGAGTGGATTCGCGAGATGTGCCGCGACGCGCGCGAGCTCGTCATCGGTTGCGGCATCCACGTCTGCAGCCCCTCCTGCTATAAGTACCATTCCGACAAGGCGCGCGGCTCGCAGATCTGCCGCCACAACTACTACAACCTGGTGACATTGTGCACGTGGCCCGAGGATGGGGATTCCCAGGAGTGCCGGCTCCGCACGCGCGGGAAGGCGCTGCGTGGCTGCATCGTCATATTCCGGGAGACGGACTACGGCATGGCTGGGCGCATCGTCACCTTTCAGCTCCGCCCTGGGGAGACCACCACAAAGTATGCGGCGCTCGTCTCGGCGCGGTGCAACGTGGACGTGCAGGACATGAGACGGGCGCTGCCCCCGCGGCTGTGGATGGAGGCGTCGGAGCTGGAACCGCGAGCGGAAGAAAAGGACCGCCAGAGTTACAACCATGGCCTCTACCCTCAGCGCTACCCCGACTTCTCGGTGGGCGCCCGGGAGGACTGAGGATGGTTCCAGCACCTGAACACCACGTCCGAGGCGAAGTGGGACCTCGTCGTAATCACCGACTGGCACGGGATCTTCAGGGAGCTCGCGAACTGCGGCAGTCCGAGCGTGGACGGTGACGACGCTGCGCGCGCCGACCTCCAACGCGAGCTTCAACGGCACGCGCTCGCCACTTTCGTGGATGCTCACAACACGAGCTACTACGTGAATTCTTACACCACGAAGGTGAACCCCAACATGGACAACGTGCTCTGCAAGCTCCTTGACGGCGTGCGCCGCCTCAAAAGCCAGTGCGACGACCGGCAGGCGCAGGCCGCGGGCGACGTCGGCGACGACCCCCAGTCGACCGCTGCAGGGAAGCGCAAGGAGGATTTCAAGCGCACGCTGCAGGTGCTGTCCCGCTTCGAGACCTGCTTCCGCAGGGCTTCCTGGAAAGGCGGCAGCGAGATGGTATTCCCAATGCTCTTTGGGCACCTTTCCTTCATGACGCACTGTTGCTGGAAGGCGTTCATGCGGAAATCCATCTACCTCGCCGCGGAGTCCTGGCGCAGGCGATACGGTCAGGCCGACGCCGCGGAAAGCCCGCCCGCCGCCTCGATCACGTACGCGGTTCCCGGCACTGGCGAGCAGGTCGCGATGCCGGGGTGGAGCGAGGTGCAGCGCGAGGGGGAGACGTTGTACGTCAGCCCCGACGGCGAGGAGTTCGACACGATCGAGTACGCGCACCAGGCGTTCCAGATCACGAACGCCAGCGGCGGCTCGCTGCGCAACGTGACGAAGGCGTTGCAAAAGATGCGGGAAGGCGAGGCCGAAGAAGAGGTGACCGAGGCACCGGGGCCGACTGTCCAGGGCCTCGCGCAGGGCAAGCTCATGGGGGCCGTGCTGAGCCAGCACGACGACTGGATGCACCGCGGTGACCACCCTATTGTCCGAGACATGAGCTTGTACGTCTACAGCATCTGGGTGTACCGCGTGGAACTGCCGCTGCATGCCCTCCCGGCCGGGGAGCTGGAGCCCGAGGGCAGCGGGGGTCGCACCCTGCACGTCGACATCCCCTTCGACTCGGCCTACTCGGCGGCGCGGAACTGGACTCAGAGGCTGGCCGTCGAGCCGCGCATTCCGAAGCCAGACGGCTTCCAGTTCGTGAGCGCGGAGTCGAACGTGGAGACGCACTACCTCATGAAGTCGGTGCTGCTCCGACCAGTGCACCTGCCGGACGCCGACGGGCCCAACGACACGAAGGAGCTGCGCTACCTCCGCGCGTACGAGCACCTGTGCGCGGCGCCGGTGGGCGAGCCGGAGTGGCCGGCTCAGCCGGCGGGGGAGGGCGTCTCGGGCCCGTTCCAGCGCGGCTGGGAGTCGTTCGCCGTCGCCCAGGAGCAACTGGCGAAGACGGCCAGGGCGAAGTGCCTCAGGAATGACGTCGGGTCGTGGGCGACCCCCAGCATCTGGAACACGGAGGAGGTCGAGTCCGCGCTGCGCGAGAAGCGCAGCGACCGCCGCGAGGAGGTGCAGCCTCCGTGCCAGTGCGCCCAGTGCACGGAGCTGGGCAACTGGCTGGACAGCATGCTGACCGTGCAGGAGTACCTGGCCCTGGAGACCACGAAGACCGCGGCCAACTTCGACGGCATTTCCAAGGCGAAGGCTTCGAAGCCGAAGAGGCCGCAGAAGGACGACGTGCAGGTCCCCGAGGCCCCCGCGTTCCAGGAGGGCGCCGAGGACTCGGGGGCGGGCGCCGCGCAGGTGGAGGCCCAGGGCATCCGCGCTCAGGACGGCTTCGCGAAGCTGGGTGCCAACGCGGTCCTGGAGCACCAC